GCCAGGCGGGTAGTTAATCACTTTAACTACGAACAATCACGCTTAAGCTACATAATCTTTACTTAGGATAATCTCCTTCAGTTACTTCCTTGTAGCTTGATAGAACAATAGAGTAACCTTGGAATGGAGATAAGAAACGCCCTAACCTTTGGAATAGAATGGATAGGATTAAAATCAGCTGGTATAAATACAGATGTAACAGGACAATAAAGAGAGAACCTGGCTATGCTGGTCAACTGAACACTGTCTCCGTGTCATTCCTTCTTTGCCGACTCCGTCCACACCTTTGGGAACCCCTGGACCTGCTGGGGCTGGACCCCAACAATTGTCCGAGATTGTCCGAGAGAGAAATGACTGTAAAGCTTAAATCAGGGTAGAATTGCAGATTCTTGTTTTAACTGCTGAAGTTTTAATCGTGGGTCTTAGCCAGCACCTTGAGTTCCTTACACTGTGAAAGTATAGTTAAAGAAAACTATTGTTAGTTTCAGTGAATTTGGGGTGGGATTGATTTACTCACAGTAATTAAGCATTAGGGTGTGTGCATGACTGTTTACACCAAGTAATTGGACCACCCTGTAATCTAATTATTTCAAACCACACCAGCCAACACGCATATGAGGAATTGCAAAATCTAATCATGTTGCAATTACTCAGGAAATGGCTCTAAATTATGTTCACTAGCCTTACTATAGGGGAAGCCAGAATCATCAACCTATTTGAAACCAAGTTAAGTATATGCCTTTGCTCTGAATCTGGAAACATCTCCACTATAGAATAGAGCTCAAGTACCCTTATTTAAATTCCTATCTTCTGTTTAATATTTGTTTTGCTCTTTGGCTCAAAAGGGGACATCTGTAATACTTTCAGCAATAAAGATAATTTTTAAGTAAATTAATATTCTTTATTACTTCATTTCAATAAAAGAAAGTTTTCATGGAATGAATTATTGTTTAAGTAAGAATAGCTCTGTGAGGAAAAAAATAGTTTGACATAATCTGTGTCGATTTAATGAAAATATTTATTTTTCTATATGTTTCCAGGCCCTAGCACAATGCCTAGGCATAATAGGTACCCATAAATATTTGTTGAATAATAAATAATAATACAGTTATATGCGTTAGGAGTATTTTGAAAAAGTGATGGTCATTTAACAGATATTTATGACCATCTGCATTCTGCCAGAAGCCTGACTAGGTGCTAAGGATATGAAAATGTGTAAGGTGCTGATTTGACCTCAGCTAACTCATATGAATCAACTTTTTTTAATCCTCACAACTCAGGGTTGGAAATCCATTGATTCCAATTTTCTAAGATGGGGAACTTAAGACATAGAGATGTTACAAAACTTGGCTGAATTAGGGTTCTCCCAAGGAAAAAAACCAATAGGAGATAGAGATATATATGATTTTCATTATATTTATTTATATGTGAACTAGAGGCCCAATGCATGAAATTCATGCTTGGGTAGGGTCCCCAGGCCTGGCCAGTGATCAGGGCTCATCTGTGGGGCAACCAGCGGGCCGATCAAGAGGGGTCCCCTGCTGGCACCCACCTTGGCCAGCCTAGCTCGGCCTACTCACCAGCTCCACCCCCCGCCACCACTGCTGGTCGCCTCCCTCGGTCGCCTCCCTCTGTGGGGCAATAGGGGGGCCCCAGCTGGCACTCGCCTTGACTGGCCTGGGGCCTGCAGGCTGAGGGCAGCTCCTGCATTGAGCGTCTACCCCCTGGTGGTCAGTGTGCATCATAGCGATTGGCCGTTTGGTTGATTTGCATATTAGGCTTTTATTATATAGAATAGGATTTGTTATAAGGAATTGGTTCACATAATTATGGAGCCTAAGAAATCCCACAATCTGCAGTCTGAAGGCCTGAGAAGGAGAGTGAGTGGTGTAAGTTCCAGTCAGAATCCAAAAGCCAGGTCCAACTTTATGTTCCCTCCACCATTATCCCACACATTCCCTAGATTCCTGTCTGTGTAAGTTAGAAAACGCAAATAGTTCTTTTTGAGTGTAGTGTACCTCCTCATGAGTCCTGCTAGGCAGCTCAGGTCTCATGGTAACTTGGTGGCCCATGGTTAAGTATTCAGTCAGTAGCAGGCCAAGAGCTTTCTCGAATGAGCAGTAGTTATTCCTCGAGGATGGCAGGACTTTGCTCTAAATCCTAAGGGTCTGAGCCACCATTCACCTGCAAGGGCTGCCACCGGCTCCTAGCAGCATCACCTTCAGCCACAGACGCTTCAAGCACCATGGGATCTGCTGGGTCAAATGGCCGAGGGCGGAGCAGTTTGTACAGCTCTCTGGACCTATTTCAAAGCCTTCTCTTGTTCTGGGCCTCATGCAACACTAACAGCTTTTCGTGTCACTTGGTGAATGGGTTGGAGGGACACCCAAATGAGGAACAAGTTGCCTCCAAATTCGAGGCGGCCCACTTACCCTTTCTAGGAAGTACTGGGCACTCCATCTCCTCCTCCATGTCTTTTAAGAAGTTTTCCCAAGGATGCTTCTGATCCTGCCTCAGATATTTCCATGGTCTTCTTCCTTGAGCAGGTGGAGAGGGCTTCCATTAAATTAGCATCTCTTAACATTCATAAAGGCATGCCATCCCTACTGACTGAAGCTGACTGCTGTGGTTTATGTGCTTACCCTGAATGTACAATGTAGAATATTTGTACTTCTCAGAGAATGTACACTGAAATATTTACAAGTCATTACTTATCAAAAAGCTCAATATTATCAGAAAACTATCTGATGGATGCATAGTCCATTTTTCCCTCAGGTTCCGGGTCAGCAAATTCCTGAGACTACTCTTACTACTGTCCCATCCAAGCCCCTGGCCAGCTTCTTAGGCTGAGCCTAGACTCTTTCTTGCTCAAACCTGATTCTTCCCCACCAGCGCTTCAGGTTGTGTTGGCATCTCATCAGCATTGGCATGCGAGATGAAATCCATTTGTAATTCCCATACTCTTAAAAGCCAAACTGTCAGAAAGCCATGCACTTGAAATACATTATTTTGTCCCCTTGTAAGATTCTTTCCTAGAATTATGTTTTGGACTTATGTCATCAGCCTACATTAAAATCAAAAGAAGAAAACTCTGAGAAATGTATCATATTTATTGTGAGAGTATTTGGGGGTGTCTGTTTTCTTTCTGAGGATTCATTCTTAATATCTCTGATGGGCAGAGGTTAAGTAATGTTGTCCCATTCATGTTCAGCTGTGTCTGGCCATACCTAGCAGAGTGACATAGATCAGCAAATGTCTGCTTGAAGGTCTACAAAAAGTATGTCAAACTTGTGGCCCACAATGAATATTTTTGCGGCCCAGCCAATATAATGATATGTAAGAAATGTTTTAATTAAAATTTTGTAACTTAATTTTTACAATATCCTTTTATACGTAATTATTAATAACAAACTACAACATTCGCTAATGACTGATTACTATAATCGTGTTGCATTCATTTCCCTTGCACGCCTTACGCGCAGGCACACCATTTCTCTCCACTAATACCAGCAGCGAATATTTTAGCAGCCGATTGCCCCGTTGTTAGTCTTGTACTGACTTGACTTGTTTGGTGTGCGCAATAGGAAATATTTCGCTTTCAGAGAAGAAGAAAAATAGGTTTATTTGCGTCACGCTTATTAATTTGTGCAGCTACTCAGTGTCTGGTAAGTTAATGTTCAAAAAAATATTAATTTTTGTTAAAATGTTCTATTATTTTATGTTGTTACTTACTTATTTCAGCCCTTTGTATTCAGCATGTCTCTATCGAAATAAACCTATGTTTCTATGAAAATTGAAGCTTTTGTTTTTTTGCGGCCCACATAAACTTAAACCTTGTTTATTTGGCCCGTGTTAGCCTTTGAGTTTGACATGCTTGGTCTACAGCTTCTGGGAGAAAAACTATCCTGAATCACTCTGATACTGACCATTCATCCAAACCCATCTTGGTCTTTGAAGGGGACAAGCATTTGTGATTGGAGCATGGTGTCCATCACTCAGGTTAAACTTCAGGCTCAGATTCCCATCAGCATGCATCTGTGGATTCCTGTGGAGATATAGCTCTGAGAGCAGAGGTGCTATTCAAAATATTTAACACCCAAAGCAATACAGACATTCATCAAACAGAACAGACAACCAACCCTTACCAGGACCATACCTGATGGACTTAAGCCCTGTCTATAAAGACCATTTCATGAAACTTTGTACAGGACATCGAGACACAGGAGCTTTGCTGCACCTCTGATAGAGTTTAGTGCACAAAGGAGAGAGAGAGAACTCTGACCAACTCTGGGAAAGGGACCAACAGCACCAGCCCAAAGCACCAGCAGTGTTTAGAACGGAATGCATGATCTCATTTCAATATTAAGTGTGGGGTGCCAGGGTGACCCTCAGACTAAGGAGGGAACAGGATGGTGCTAGATGAGTTCTGGCATCAGCTGAATCTGAGATGGATCCTGTTCACTCACTGTTGTTTAACCTCCAGCAAGAGACTTGAATGCCCTGTGCTTGCGGGCCCTCCCCTGTAAAAGGGGACCACAGTGTTCCCTAGGGGCTCCCTGTTACTGCAGTGGTGGTCGATCATGGGACATACCCAGAAGGTCCCACCAGAAATACCCGCAGGGCCCAGTCCTGCAGGCGTTGTCAGAGCAAGAGCCAGTGACACCAGAGTCACACATGTCAGCAATTTGAGCCAAGCAGGGACAGGGAGAGAGCAAACTGGGATTTATTGAGCTGTTTCTCTGTTACTTCACTCCAGTTCCATAGGTATCCAGAGATAAAAACTACAATTTCTTACTTCGACAAAATGTTAGGTTATTGAGCCTTCACCACTGTGGGTGAGCCACACACTCTGTAAGAGGTATAGATTAGGTGATATCCCAAGTCAGACATGAATTGGGGGAGGGGAGGGTCAGAGCCAGTGGGGGGAAGGAGATGAAGAAGGTGTAGACAGCCACTGGCTTCCAGGTTGGGTGGCTCAGGGCCCCTATGCAGTAAGACATAAAAAGGGGAGCTGGGGTTGGCCGTGAGAACAGCACACTGGGGGGGTAGCCCTGCAGTTTCTCCATAGAGGAAATATAGGGTGGTACATAAATGTACGTTGTCTCATTTGCATATTATGCCATCCTTGGAAAGGAAGGATCGCTTCCACTCCTTGACGTCAGAAGGACAGAGGTTCAGCGAAATACATTTAGTAACTTGCCCTAAGTCACACAGGCACTGAGATCTGAACCCAGAACCACCTTCTACCAGCTGCTCCCACTAAGGGGGTGGCCCAACTCAGAAGAGAGAAAAACCTAGCCTTTCTCATTGCCAGATAGTTCTGACTGCGATTTACTTTCTCATCTATTTCATATTATGATAATGTTTTCCTGGAATTGGATGATATAATACTAGAAATTGAAGATGTTTATTCGCTTCAAAGATTACATATGCAGCCTTCCTGTCATAACCAAGGGACATCGCTCGCATCACTCACGATTTCCAGTCTTCTCTGTGGATGATAATGCTTATGTTAGGAAATGTCTTGTTGTTACTAAGCCTGCTGATCGTCAAAAGGAAAACCGGCAGAGGCAGGCCAGCGATGCATCCTTTCGATATTTATCAAGCCTGGAGTCTGTCTGAAATTTGTTTTCTGGGAAGCGTTGCCTGTGATGAATGGGACAGTATTTTAATGATATTGTAGGTGGTCTCCCTTGTAATAAAGCAAATTACTCTAACAAAACTATTTTATTTCTTCATACAAAATTCATCTTCAAATTTCATCTAGGCCAGCGGTTCTCAACCTGTGGGTCGCGACCCCTTTGGGAGTCGAACGACCCTTTCACAGGGGTCGCCTAAGACCATCCTGCATATCAGATATTTACATTACGATTCATAACAGTAGCAACATTACAGTTATGAAGTAGCAACGAAAATAATTTTATGGTTGGGTCACAACATGAGGAACTGTATTTAAAGGGCCAGAAGGTTGAGAACCACTGATCTAGGCCCTAAAATTTTTAATTTCCATAACAAGTTTTTTGCATTATGCTTTTGCCTGTGATTGTGCAATCTGATTAATTCAAAATATTAGCTACAATTTCCATAAAGCGAATAGGATAATGTTGATGGGGTGAAAGGGATCACTTTGTCCCCTCTCCCCAGCATCTCAGTTGTTTATACACTAACGTCTCGTCCTCTAGAGCCCCTCATCCAGAAACTCCAATTTAAGGGAACACAGTGAAGATGAAGTTAATTTAAAATCCCTCCAAATAGACCAAATAATCCTCTTAAAGACTTGCGCTTCATTCTCAGGCAAACCTTCTCAACTCTCTGTCAGAAGTTAGAAACCAATTTTTTCTTTTAGGCAGAATTTTCGCAAGAGCCGTGACTTCTACACCCAGAGCAGGTTCCATATCAAGTGAAAAGGAAGATGGGGAGAGTCCTAGAAACTGTCTTCCTCAGAGAAGCAAGAAGTGTCTATCGACAGCCCAGTAACAGTGGGAGAGAAAAACCTTCCAGATGTGGGTGTGAGCATTCAGAAAGCGCAGCTTATCTCAGATCCTGGGGCCTCACTGTGCAGGTACAGATGTAGTCAGTGCTCGGGAGGGCTTGGAGACACCGAGGATGGGTCAGTGTCATCTGTTTTCTCTGTTTAAGAAAGCAGCAAAGTGTATGTGTGTTTCAGCAAACTTTGTATCACAAAGATTAAAATGTTACACATTTTAAAGGGCTGTTTCATTCATTTGGAAATTCGACTTCTTGCTATATCACAGTTAGATGTCTCAAGACCTGCTACCTGTGGGTACAAATGAGAGCTAATTATCATCAATAACCCCACCGTTCCTCTTCCCCGCGCCAATGGCCATCCCTGCAGGGCGTCACACACCCCAGCCGTGTTGTCCCTCGTGCCTCCCTTTGTATGGAGCCACTCTGCCATCCCTGCTGCCCGGAGAAGGCGGCTCCCTGGGGCTGCCACAGTCCTAACTCCTGGGCACACCAGGGTGCTTATGTCTTGCACTAAAAAAATACTGTTTCTGACTGAAAGTCTTTTCTGACTCTCACGGTTTATCAATCTTCTGCTAAAATAGAAGGTGAGTCAAAAGTCCCAGAGTGCTCATCATAAACCTCAGCCTCAGGAACTGGCACTTAGAGAGCACAGCTTCTTAATCCTGTCTTTTGCAGTTTATTTTCTATGTGTTGGCTCATTTACATTGTTCAACAGCCCTAAGAGGAAGTTCTAGAGCCCACTTCATAGAGGAGGAAACTGAGGCCAGAGAGGGTGTCAGCCCAGAACCCACACATGAAAAGGTGAAGCCAGGGTCCAAGTGTAAGTCCATTTCCCTGGCAGCCTCCCTGGCAGTCACAGGGCCTTGCTCTGTATCTGGGGACTGCTTTCATGTAGAATGCTGGCTGTAAACATGCCAGGAGCGTTTAGGGTTTGTTATGAGGATAATACTTGAAGGTGGTGTTGACAAGATACAAACCACCATCAGCACCCCGTATAGAATGAACAACCCATGCAAACCTCTTTAACGAGTGAATGTGATAGTAACAACTACAATAGCACCTTACACTTGTACAACATGGAGACTTTGCAAAGCACCTTCACGTTATCTCCATATGTTATAGAGTACCTAGACCTAAACTTTTACACAGATTCCAACCTGAGTGTCAATTCCGATGACCGGTGGCAGCTGCCTGGAATGCTGTACTGAAAAGGATCCTGAGGACCATTCTAGGTCAGTAAGAATTGGGCTGCGATTGATTAGTCATGTCTGCCCAGGCAAAGGAGTTGGGAGCAGCAGCATTAGTGCTGCTTGCTGTCTGTTATCTGTTCTAGTCCGCTCTGTACAAATGAATAAACGACTTGTCTCAGATCATGTAATAAGTAGCTAAGCTGAAACCAAAGCTTGGGTTCCATTCAATCTGCTATCATTGTTCTTAGACCATGTTGTATGCAAAGACAGCTAAATACCCTGGAATTTAATACCCAACAGACTGGGATTTATTATGAAGTTTTGAGCTCAATGATGTGTAATCTAGAACAGAATTAGATGCTGTCTCCAGTAAAATGCAAATAAAGTTTCTACAACTTAGGACTAGTCACGTAGTGATGGCCTCAGGTGCTCGGTGGCTACAGATAGCGCTGGGCTATCTTTAGCTGTGCACCGTCTCCCTGACAACATCTGGAAAGTCCAAGAAGCTCAAAACCCTATTTTAAAGGTCAAGAACGTTTCGGACGTGCAGGGGTAGCATCAACAGAACATTAGACACCATATCAGGTCTCCAGGCTAACGCGGCAATAAGTGTGTGACCAGTGTCTGAGTTAATTTCGAGTGTCCCTGGGCCTAGGACAGAAGAGGAATTTTATTAGTGCAGCGTTCACACAACTTGGCATGAAAAGGAAAGGGAAAATTAGTGACTACACATATGCAAGCATGACACAGAGATGACCTTTGGGACCGATGGCAAAACCTACCAGGTGGTGGTGGCTTCTTCAGAGGGAAGGTGGCCCAGGCTATACAACCGCCAATTGCCCTGGGACTTGTAAAGAGCCGTTGGACACAGGGCGACGGGACTGACCCCAGTGTGGGTCACAGGCTCGGACACTGAGCTCATCCTCTGTCGGCAGTGTTATCTCTGAATACAAAGGGCAAGGAGGTACATATTATGTGGGCAGCTGTGACCATCATAATTTCCTAATTGACTTTTGACTCACCTTCTATTTTAGCAGAAGATTGATAAACCGTGAGAGTCATTGCTAAAACACACAGCTTTCTTCCAGCCAGAGCAGCCTGCCCCACTACTAGTATACACTCCCCAACCCCAGGTGGTCAGAAGCAGGGGACCCCACCCCACCACTTAGCCCCAGCCACCTCTCAGAGAGCAGACAGGGATTTCTTATGGCTTTGCACGCTGCTTTGTTGGCTGTTTCCAAGGTGACAGAGTGTTCTGTCTTGTGCTATAAAGGCAGGAGCACAGGATGGACCCTTTCCTCCTCCTCTATTAGCTTCTGTCCGTGCAGCTGCACACTTGGTGTGAACGTGGGCCCAGAGCCCTGTTTCCCGGAGGCAGCGTGGGGGGGGGGGGGGGGGGGGGGGGTGGTGTTTGTGTGTTTGGTGCACGTGGAACTTTGCTGTCAGTCGTGCGGCCTAGGAGTCGGCATTCAAGCCTCTCTGATTCTCACTCTACACCAAACGTTTTCTCATCAGGAGAGGGATACATTCAAATGCTGTTGAAATTTGCATTATATGTTCCCAATTAGTTACTTGGCCTCCCTGAGGGAGGACTGTATTTCCCCAAACCACTGGCATTTGACTTGCTTGTGGCCAAATGTGCTCCCAGGGGAAGCACCGTGTGCCATGTCACCGCTGGTGTGTAATAAGAGCGGGAAATAAGATTTGGTGTATGTAAGCGCTGAGACTTGGGGCGTGGTTGTTACCACAGCACCCCCTTCCCCCCACCCCTCCCCCAGCAAAAGCTGACTGGTTCAGTACAGGCAGGCACGGGCCAGAGGACGTGGGCAGACAGAAGGGCCTGGCGGCAGTAGCAGTTCAGCACTGAGGGGTCACTGCAGGAACACAGGCCCATTGCTGCCCGACTTTCCAATGTTTTAAAGAGACTATCAGGAATCTAGATTTTATGTGATAAGCAAACTACATTCAGTCCAAATAATTCATATTCTGTAGCCCTGAACCAGGCCTCAGGCCACCGTTGGCCAGAGCAGAACTGGTCTGACCATTGCTCTCTGCACTCTCATTCCCTCCTCTCCGCTCATGCGTGCCTGCACCACCCCTTAACCCAGTGGTTCTCAACCTTCTGGCCCTTTAAATACAGTTCCTCATGTTGTGACCCAACCATAAAATTATTTTCATTGCTACTTCATAACTGTAATGTTGCTACTGTGATGAATCGTAATGTAAATATCTGATATGCAGGATGGTCTTAGGCGACCCCTGAGAAAGGGTCTTTCGACCGCCAAAGGGGTCGCGACCCACAGGTTGAGAACCGCTGCTAACCCCTCCTGAAACCCCCTCTTTGTCCAGCTTGCCATCCTCCATGACCCCAGCCAGACCATCCAGCCTGGACTCAGAGTCTGTATTCCATTCAGCATCTGCATGTTTCTCTGACGTTGTTGGTCTTACACACAAGTCCACCCTTGGAGAGCCTATGACATGCGGGGACAGACTGTAGCTGGCGATTCCCACGTCCTCCGTGCCTCGCACACTTGAGAGGCACAAAATTAACGTTGTTGTACTGACAGCTTGTTGGTCCGGGACACCCACTTCTTGTGTGAGAGTCCTGCAAAAAAGGGGGGAAGCTCAGGTGGAGCCCGATTCCACACACTAACTTGCCTAGTTTTCACAGACTAAAGGGTGCAGCCATCAAAGCAAATGAACAGTAACTCAGGTTTGAATGCCACACACACATCTCTGAGCACCAGGCCTCTTGTCTGCAGTGACAGAGACGGTTAGAGATAAAACTTCAGGGTTAATCCTATTCAGCTGGGATTCAGTTAAGCTTTCTGTCGCCCGTCCTGCTAAGACCCCAATTACAGCTCGTCTTATGCGACAACAATCAAAATAAGTTATACCATTCAGTGCAGTTCTTGAAGAGGGCATTCAATTTTTCAAGCTGCTGGGACATCCTTTCAAGCACTTTCTGGTGGGACCCTACCGTATGCCGTGGGCACTGCAGTGTTTGCGGTGAGCCCCAATGTGAGTTTGTTGAGTGAACAAATGAAGGAGTGACACGCTTTCATACTGCAGGTGTTGTTTCTCCAGCACAGAGAGATTAAATTCCCACCACTTCCGCCTACTCTTTCCTAATCCAAATTGTCTCACCCTATAATTTTCACTGCTTATGAAGTAATTCTGAGCTAAGTCCTCCTAATTTCCCTGAGAACCTAATTTAAACAGTAGAAGAAGCTGGCTCTTTAACTAGCAAGTACTTATAACAAGTATTTTCATATATATATAT